ATTTTGCAAAAGCACAAGATAAAGATTGGGCAACTTGAAGCAAGGTGGCATTTTTGGGGCCCTCCCTGTAACTGCATTGCTGTGGCTGTAAAGGTTTCCTGCCGTGGTGGGATGGGAAATGCAAAAACTACAGAAAAAAGCCCTGAATATGTTTATCATTTTAAAACAAAAACTGCAAAGATCCTACCCTGCAAAAAAAGAGAAAAACCTGAGAAAGAAATGGAGCGTTATTGTTTTGCCCCTCTGTGGGATGCAAACTTTTCTCATAGCTTGAATGCTCACAATGGCCTTCAAACCTTAAGAAAAGTATATCAGTAAAGGAGAATATTCGTAGCACAGGGTTAAAATGAGGAGTCTCTGAACTTTGTAGGTTTCTTGCAGACATTTCATTACTCAAACTAAGTTAATGTTGTCAGTAGGGAGTAGAGTTTCCTCTCCATTTATATTTTAGTGCAGAGGTGGGGAACCTTGGCTCTTTTATGACTTGTGGACTTTAACTCCCAGAATTCCTGAGCCAGCATGGCTGGCTCGGGGATTCTGGGAGTTAACATTTCGCAAGTCATAAAAGAGCCAAGGTTCCCCATCCCTGTTCTAGTAGCTTGTCCTATCAGTGTTGTTGGGAGTGTTCTTGGGGATTTTTTGGATGGAGTGTTTACCATTTGGACTATTGTTAACTGCCAAACAAGCTAATAATAAACAGCCCAGCTAAAGAATCTCCAAGACCAACACCAACACTGACAGGGCAAGCCACTAGAATATAAATCAGCCTATTCACTATCATCTACTGCCAGTAGTTTACAGAATAAAACAGAATATAGCATTGGAAGGGACCTTGGAGTTCTTCTAGTCCAACCCCTTACTCAGGTAGGAAACCCTATACCATTTCAGACAAGTGATTATCCAATCTCTTCTTAAAAATGTCCAGTATTGAACCATCCACAACTTCTAGAGGCAGGTTGTTCCACTGATTAATTGTTCTGTCAGGATATTTCTCCTTAGTTCTAGGTTGCTTCTCTCCTTGATTAGTTTTCATCCATCGCTTCTTGTCCTGCCTTCAGGTGCTTTGGAGAATAGCTTGACTCCCTCTTCTTTGTGGCAGCCCCTGAGATATTGGAACATTGCTCTCATGTCATCCCTAGCCAATCTAAATTGAGGACAAACCCCACTCCTTAGCACTGATGATGTTACCTAGTTGGGTAATGTAACATGTGCAAGAAAAGAACCAAGCTCAGAGAGCACCAAGGAGCCCTCAAAAAGTATCCCATGGACTCAAAATGTTGCTCATCCCTACACTAAATCATATAGTTCTATCTGCACTAACCATGTACCATGGGACGCCTCACCTCCTGAATCTCTATATGCTTTCCAGATCTGCAATACTATCACTGAACTGCCAAATTCTGAAAACTGAAACAGACTTTTTCCCGTTAAAACAAACTCAGCAGATAGGCTCCAGCCATTCTGCTCAGAGCCTGGGGAGTCTCCTTTCATTTACGAGAAAACTGTTTCTCGGCCAAAGAAAACTGGATGATTCTCATTAGAACAATCCAGGTCTCCAAAACAGATGAAGCAAATTTGGACCAAGGTGCCCTACACTGAAAAACTATAAGGGTATTTATTTGTTGGCGTGGACTCATGGCCAATGTCCAAGAAGGTTGGGCTTGATGCCAAAGGAACCTGTTGCAGGAACTTCGACTCAGATGTATGTGAGGGGAGGCAGAGACTTACTAAGCATGTCCCTGAGTAAAACCACAGCTGTTAGGACTAAGGCCAAGTTCTGGCCTGTTTAGTGAATAGAGCGCTAACTGTAAATGCTGATTAATAACTGAGCCAGCCAGTTATATATACATCTACATCAATGCATGCCACAAATACTTTCTAGAGCAGTGGTTCTCAACCTTTTTAATGCCGTGACCCCCAACCGGTCAAACGGCACCGTTTGCAGAATGGGACTTTTGGCGGGCTCAGCAGAGCAGAGACAGCCTGGACAATTCCTATTGGCTTTTGAAAGCCAATAGAATTAGACTCTATTCAAGAGAGAATAGAATAGAATAAAAGGGAGTAGCACAGCTAAGGAAAAGGGGGGAAAATGGTGGACTGCGTTTTTTGGTCGTTCGACCCCAAATGGGGCCCCGACCCAGAGGTTGAGAACCACTGTTCTAGAGTTTTCCCCAAGATTATGGTAGTCTTAATTTGGGGCAAAGTTGCTCTAAAGTGATAGCGTGCCTCTTGCATGGAGCCTAGGCTTCCACAGTCCCTGCTGTTTGTCATCTCAGAATTTTTCTTTACTTTATTACATTTTGAGGTTGTCCAAGAACCACAGCTCCCTGGCCTCTCTGCAAACTCATTAAAATGTATAATGCAAAACAATAATGAAGTGGAATAGAGAAATAACTATATTGGGGGAAACTGGGGAACTTGGCAGCTTGAGCAAATATAAGGTCCTAATTTACTAAGCTGTGCAAATCTTGGTTGTAGAGCTGAATACCGAGTGATTCTTATTTTAAGTACAAAAGTATTCTGCTTTTGATTTAATACAGGTGCTGACGTGCGTATGGAAAAAAGACGATAGCAATGCCTAATTCGTTCAAGTATTGGAAACATATATGTGTCTAAGAGAGAGAAAGCATATTGGAAAGCTTTTTTTTAAAAAAAACAGATAGCACTTTTTAAAAAAGCTACGATTAAACTTTCTGTAGGAAGCTCGTTTTCCCATCACTTTTTATTAGAGGTGTAGAAATCTGGAACATTTTACTGTTTGACAGTAATGCGTAATCTACTGCATTTAATAATGGGAAGGGAAGGAAGGAAGGAAGGAAGGAAGGAAGGAAGGAAGGAAGGAAGGAGGGAGGGAGGGAGGGAGGGAGGGAGGGAGGGAGGGAGGAAGGAAGGAAGGAAGGAAGGAGAAGAAAAGGAGAAAAGGGGGAGCAGAGAGAGAAGAGGGAGGGAGGAGAGGGGACAAGGAGAAGGAGAAGGCTTAGCATGCTGTTGCAAGCTAGGCAGTGTGGCATACTTTTTTCTGATCATCTTTTTCATTGTTTTAATTGAACATTTCAAAATGAGAAGGAGCAGGAGAAGGAAAGCGATATTCGCTTTTGTCCTGGAGATCACTACATTAAAAACAAAGCAAAGCCAGAAGTATTATCTTTATCCCATGAGGTTTTTTTTTTTTTTTTCTCCCTTGGCTTGCCTACTTCTATTTAGAGGGGGAACACCTGCCCGGCTCCAGGAAGCAGGAGGGCCAAGCACTCAGGCGAGCTTGCCGGGAGGTGTTTTTTACCCCTTGCAGACCGAAGCGCTGTGCTTTTCGCTTTGTTCAAACAACCCTTTATGGTTATTTAAATAGAAAACTATTCAGCAGGAGAGGCAGTTGACAGGGGTGGACTCCAAACAGCTTCGTGGCTACCTTGCTTTTTTTTTTTTTTTTTTCCCCCTCTGCTCCTGAAATCTGGGGCTGCTCTAAGTGGCCAGAGGGAGCCGGCTGCTCAAGTGGGCGCTTGCTTTTGCAAACAAAAGCAACACCTGCAACAAGCAACATTGATCCTGGGCGGCTTGGCGGACGTATGAGTTTCCCTCTGTCTCTGAAGCAGATGGCTCGAGGTGCAGGGTGGAATCTGACAGCACCCTCAACTGAGGCTGAGCTGTCACCTTCTAGGAAACATGAAGATGCTGCTGTCCCCCCACCTCCAACAGCATCATATTAGGATCGCTCCTCGCTTCACTCACTTCCCCACCCCATTGACTGAGGGGCATCGTTGCACAAAGTGCTTTCTTATCTCTACCCTCAACTCCACTGGCAGCAGTCAAATAAACTCACATCATGTCATCTGGTCCAAAGGAGAGAGCTCTTTCATTGGCTGAGATTTGATGCTCCTTTCAGCCCAAAATGATCAGCTTATACAAAAGTGGCCCCAGAGCTTCTTTCTTTGGGATGCATGGAGCTTGCTTTCATAACATCATTGAATGGCCTGTCCTGTCCTGTCTCTCTGTCTGTCTGATCAGCCAGCCAGCCAGCTGTCCGTCCATCCATCCAATCATCTGTCTGATTATCTATCTATCTATCTATCTATCTATCTATCTATCTATCTATCTATCTATCTATCTATCTATCTATCTATCTATCTATCTATCTGTGTAGCTGTCATATAAGTAGATCTATCTGTCTATCTATCTATCCAGTGCTTTTTTTCTAAAAAAAAAAAAAAAGGTGCTGGAACTCACACATTATACAATTCGCCTTGCCTACCCTACAAGGTTCCATCCAAAAAAGGTGCCGGAACTCCGTTATGGGAGTTCTATGAGAAAAAAGCCCTCTATCTATTTACCTACCTACCTACCTACCTACCTACCTACCTACCTACCTACCTACCTACCTACCTACCTATCTATCTATCTATCTATCTATCTATCTATCTATCTATCTATCTATCTACCATCTAATTTCTCTAACCAGAAGAAAAGAATAATTCCCATTCTGATAAAGCTATAGAGCCATAACCTTCAAACCCACGTATTTTCTGCCATGCTGAATAAGAATACATGAATTTGCTTAACAGCTACTGTGTTCACTTAATGACTGCCATAAAAAATGGTAAAATCAGGTCTGGTCCCATGGGTGCCTCTACCTGTGACCATCATGACTTAGGATGGACATGTTGATCTCTATTACAGTTGTAAGGTGAGGACTACCTGTATGTAGCTGTCATGTTAACAGATATTTTTGTCCACATTTTCATCATGGAAAGATATATTTGCATGCAATTTTCTCTTTTATACTCCTTTATATTAAAACAGTACAATATTCTTGAATATTTACAGATCACCTCTGTTGAATTATGCATCCATTCTCTTCCATGATGGATTCCTTATTTCCTTCTTTTTGGCCATGGATTTTACACACAGCTACTTTGAACCACTTTTTTGGGGGATTGTTCTCCAAATCAAACCACTTTTCATTAAAGACAAACCATGATTATTATGAACAAATATCAAGAACTCACCTTCTTTGGTATTGACGCGAGGTGATGGATCTGTGTGAGTCGGTGTGTTGTAAGACAGCAAGGAACTACCTGCAAAGAACAGAGTGAATTTAGCCTGCACAGATTGCATCCTTCCCTGAACCAAGAATCTTTCCTCATGATCACTCATGCTTTGGTTTCCTCACATGTGGATTACTGCCATGTGTTCCGTAGACCACTCAGATGACACAGCTGATTCAGAAGGCAGTAATAGAAGCAATTATGGTTACATTTTGATATGCTTATATAAAACCTCTCTTAAGAAAACTGGACAGGTTACCAGTGAACTCCCAGATGCAATCCAAGGAGCCAATTACCAGCATAGTGCCTTGAGAAACTGCCTCTATCCAGTGGTGGGATTCAAATATGTGAACAACCTGATCTCTGTGTGGATGCTGCTTCCAGAGTCCATTCTGGGCCTGGGCAACAAAAAATTAGCTACCGGTTCTGCTGAACTGGTGCGAACTGGCTGACTCCCACCACTGCCTCTGTCCCATTATTTCTGCCCACCCTTTAAGATCTATGAAGCAATATCGACTGATAGTAATGGATTGTAAGTAGCTTTTTGAAAGTCCGTTGTAAGTTCAAAGGGTCATTAAACATGGCCATCAGCTGAGGACTATTTTGTGTATTTTATAGAACTGAAGACATCATATAAGTCCTTTCTGTTCCAGATGAAACTCAATAGGACCAATTCCAGAAGGCAAGGTAGTTAGGGACCTTTGGTGTCAATGTATACATGAGCATAGTTCTGCTGTGGCTGTAGCACTATAATTGGAAGCTCACTAAGATGAATGCCACTATACAAGAGGGAAATACCTTGATTATGGAAAACCACTGTTGAAGAAGAAAACTTGGCATCCTCCTCAAATTTCCCATCCAAAATCCTAGGGTGACATGGCAACATGGAGCTTCAATAACGGGACTTTACAGAACGTGCAAATAGGCTCTGAATCCACCATTAAAACATCTCAAATGGAATTCAGGCCATCTTAAAACATCAATACCTTGATTATTCGGATTATGTATATTATCCAGAGTTTGGAAAATGTACCATAGACCAGAGGTCCCCAACCCCCTGTCCATGGACTGGTACCGGGCCACGGCATGCCAGCAACCAGACCACACAAACAAGCAAAGCCCCATCTATGAGCTGCAGGCAGCACACAATACCATGCATCCCTCCAGTCCGCGGAAAAATCTCTCTCCATGGAACCGGTCCCTGGTGCCCAAAAGTTTGGGAACCTCTGCCATAGACTTTTTTGGTGCAAGGAGTAAAAGAAACAACAATATGATGCCCAGTGCAGTATATAGCCACGGTTGATAGCAAGGATAGGCAATTTTGAAAGCACATCACAAACATAAAACACTTCCTGGAAGGCTTTGCCAGGCACAAAATACTTATTTCCTGGAAGTCAATGGTAAACTTGCTCTGAGACTCATTACCCTCAGAAGCTCTCTAAATAACTAGACATTTTTTTTATTCTTGGGCAGGAGGGCACATTTCTAAACAAAATTTGTTCAGAGCAATGCTAAGGACCCCAATGAGATTTAAGTGAGCATTCATATAAATAAAGAATAGGTCAAAGGGCTGGTGTTTGCCTGTCCCTGTACAAAAGCCTGTTTATTTAACAGAATAATAGAATAAAGCAGCGGTTCTCAACCTTTGTGTGACGGCGACCCCCGTCACACGGACGCGGCGCACATGCGCAGCACGCATGCGTGGCAGCGCCCCCATGCGCAGCGCCGCCCCCTGAGGGGGAAAAATGGCGGATCGCGTTGTTTGGCGACCCCCGTAAAATGGTCGTTCGACCCCAAATGGAGTTGCGACCCATAGGTTGAGAACCGCTGGAATAAAGGGCCATGGTGTCGCAGTGGTTAGACTGCAGTACTGCAGGCTACTTCTGCTGACTGCTGATTGCCAACAATTCAACAGTTTGAACCTCACCGGCTCAAGGTTGACTCAGCCTTCCATCCTTCTAAGGTTGGTAAAACGAGGATCCGGATTGTTGGGGACAAGATACTGACTCTGTAAATCACTTAGAGAAGGCTATAAAGTGGTATATAAGTCTAAATGTTATTGCTATTCCTATAACAGAGTTGGAAGGGACCTTGGAGGTTTTCTAGTTCAACCTGCTGAGGCAGGAAACCCTATACCATTTCAGACAAATGGCTGTCCAATCTCTTCTTAAAAACTTCCAGTGTTGGAGCACCCACAACTTCTGGAAGCAAGTTGTTCCACTGCTTAATTGTTCTCACTGTCAGGAAATCTTTCCTTAGTTCTAGGTTGCTTCTCTCCCTGATTGGTTTCCATCCATTGCTTCTTGTCCTGCCTTCAGGTGCTTTGGAGAATAGCCTGACTCCCTCTTCTTTGTGGCAGCCCCTGAGATATTGGAAGACTGCTATCATGTCCCCCCCTCATCCTTCTCTTCATTAAACTAGACATACCCAATTCCAGTAACCGTTCTTCATAACTATAAGATTTTTTCAAAAATTATGCCTGGTGGTGCAGGAATATGGGCAAGAAGCCTAATAGGCATCACAAGAAGGTGATGTCTATAGAGGCTTTCTAAACCTATATCCCTGGCATTTTGTACATTATTTTTTTGTTCTCAAATAACAGTGAGAAAGCAAATTTATGGCTGACACATTTTCTGGCAAATTTGAGACAGATCCTCATTCCCGGTGCTCAGCATGACGAATTCCAGTTCCCCCTGGCAAAGTCCAAAAGGTTTCCAGAGATTAAACAAGCTGTCTTTGCAGCTAAAATGTGGACGACACATTGGATGGGGATGGGAAGAGGAAGGTAGGCCCTACAAAAAGGAAAAAAGGGGGAAGTAACCACATCAAGGAACAGTCAAACAAAGCAGGGTCTACTTTTGCTGAAAAGCTGCTGAGAGAGGAAAAGTTGCTCTGAGTTTATTGGTTCAAGTTCTCACCTTTGCCCAACGGTCTGACATTTCTGGTGGGAACACCAGAACCGGGAAGGAAAAATGTGTTTCCTATTAAGAGGTTGAAAAGAAAGAGGCAGGAGAAGACAAATTGGAGTGGGGGTGGGGAATGAGACACAGCAAAATTTGCCAAGCACGTAGTCGACGGAAAACCCAGATCTGGAATCTTTTCTGAGCAAACTTTCAAATCTAAGCAGAGCAATGCCACAATCGATCAATCATGATAGGCCTGGAAGTCACACCCCATTTGGGGACATGTTTGTTACTAATTCCAGATAGGCAGAAATTCATGAAAGAGACTTAGAGATGGGGTGTTGTATAAGGCACATTCTCAGTTGTGTCTTAGTATTTCAGTATCTAAGTCCTGGTGGAAGGAAGGAAGGAAGGAAGGAAGGAAGGAAGGAGGGAAAAAATGGAGGGAGGGGAGGAAGGAAGGAAGGAAGGAAGGAAGGAAGGAAGGAAGGAAGGAAGGAAGGAAGGAAGGAAGGAAGGAAGGAGGGAGGGAGGGATCGTCTATCTTATTCTTGCTCAGGCAGAGTTGACTATAACCAAGGAGCCACCCAACTGCAGGGAAAGTAATTTTTATTTTTGAACCCGCGGATTGCCTTTGAAACTTCCACTTCATTTATTTTTACAATATGCCTTCTGCCAACTTAAACCAGCTTTTTATAGAGGAGGAAGAAAGATGCAAATAACTTTATACATTTTCTTTTTTCTTTTTCCACTGAAAACTTTCAATTTTCTTCTGAGTCACATCAAAGCTCTCATTGCAGACCCTCTTCAAACAAAACATTAATTAAAGACTATACTAATGTATATTAACATGGTTTAATTTGGGTAGAGGAAACCTCTCCCTACCGTTGGGAAGAAATACAGTTGGGAGGCTGCAACAGAATTCTTCGGTTGCTACACAGGTTGCCTAGAAGATTCATAGACTATTTTAAAGGTCTGGGCATTAAAATTTTAGACAGTGTTTCTCGAATTTGACAACTTTAAGACATGGATTTCAGCTTCCAGAATTCCTCCGTCTGTGTATCCTTGGCCAAAGATTGATCCATTCCTATCTGAAATGGTCATCCTCTTCAGCTGAATGTGCAGCTTCAGGTAGGACATACATGAAACAATGAGATAAGAAGGGGATACCCACCTAGACAGACAGATCAACCCAATCAACCCTATCAGTGGGGTGACATGTGTTGCAGCTAGACCACCCAGATATTTATGTAGTTTTGGCCATTATCCCATTTTAGGTTCTGCAGATATTGTCATGTTTATAACCTGGATATAGATTGTTTCTTCTGGAAACAGTGAGTCTGTTTTACAGATGTATTTTAATGTTGTCTTACATTTTTATTTACTGATTTCTGAAGCTAGACTGTTTTATAGGTGCTTACGGACAGTGGTGGGATTCAGCTGGTTCAAACCACTTTGGCAGAACTGGTAGCTAATTTTTTGTTGCCCAGGCCCAGATGGCAGCACTGCTGACAGATCACTTGGGAACTATTGGTATTGGTCTGAGATTACAATAAAAGGACTGACTGACTGACTGACTGAAGCCCACATATAGAATCAGAGACACTCTTAGAAGATAAAATGGTGAGTGGATGCAGACAAAGTCTTCTTTTTTTAAACTGCGTATCTTGGCTATGCCTTCCATTATCTATGTCGTGCTTACAATAGTCTTCCTCCTCCTCCTCCTCCTCCTCCTCCAACCCCTCTACTTTCTAGCACTGATGATGTTACCTAGTTGGGTAATGAAATGTCTGCAAGAAAACCACCAAGCTCAGAGAGCACCAAGGACCCCACAGTTCAACCCTGAGCTACAAATATTCTCATCTATCAAGACTGAAGTATCCCTAGCATTCCCTCTGACAAGACAAATAAAAAACGAAGCTCTTGAGCACCTTCTGCATTCAACTCAGCATTTAACCACCATAGGAAGTTAGGCCTGGAAAAACAACAAAGGCATTGCACCACAAGGGAATCATCCAGAAATCCAGTAACCAGACCGTCATTAGGCAGATGTAAGAAGAGCTGCTCGGAAAGAAGTCATTTTTGGTAGCCTGCTTAGCCTGTAAGTGGGCTTTAATGAAGAGAAAGCTTCATATATGTCAGAGTATCCCAATGACAGCCAAAGAGGACAATGGGACGTATGGCCATCCTGACTCTTGCAAAGCAAAAGGAGTCTCAAGAGAAGGCATTCTTCACAAGTTTGCAAGCTGTTGCATTGGGGTGGGGAGAAGGAAAAAACACCAATTAAGTGATGCTGGGGAAATGATGCTGGTGTGAAACCAGCCATCCATGAAATAAGGACAGGGTGGAGATACAGTATTCAAGCAAAATAAGTTTGAGAGGCAGGCTGAAGAAAACGTTGCAGACTGACAATTGATTTTGAGTTGAACTGAAATGACCTGTTTGCATTTCTCCTTTCTCAGTGTTTTTGTTCCTCTTTTACCAAACAAAACAGACTTCCTCCCTAATCTATCTGGGTATATTTCTTTTTCTCTTGTTTTGCGGTTGGGCACAAGGGAAATACATCTGCTCTGCATACAGAAAGGCTAGCCGATTAATTGTATCAGTTACAGTCGATGAATCAGTTACATCTATCTATCTATGTCAGGGGTAGGCAACCTTGGCTCTTTGATGACTCGTGGACTTCAACTCCCAGAATTCCTGAGCCAGCCATGCTGAGGGGAAAGGGAGAGGTTTCCAAGCTGAGCCATGCTGGCTCAGGAATTCTGAAAGTTGAAGTCCACAAGTCATCAAAGAGCCAAGGTTGCCTACCCCTGATCTATGTGCATGTGTGCTGCGTGTATGTAAATCTGTAAGTTTTGAAAAAGCACTTACTTTCTCTATTTTTAGATAAAGCTTTTATTTTATCCAGCTATTCTTTTCAAGCCAAACTACATTGGATGCTGTAGCATTTACTTTTTTTAAAAAAAAATAAGGAGCAAATTTTTGCATGGGAATAAATCACAAGTAATCCTTGATTTATGACTGTGATTGAGTCAGGAATTACAGTTGTAAGTCATGGTGTCATTAAGCGGGTCATCACATGATCAGGACCACGTGATGTGTGCAATTAATTTGTCTTCTACTATATAATCACTTCTCCAGGTTCTGCAACTTTTTTTGCCTTTCATTTAATCTCAAAGCATAAAGACTTTCCCAGATTGGGAAAAATGGACAGTCAAGGAATTAGGGAAGAAAGAATGGAACGAGCATAAGAGATAACACCGAAATCACCACTATCGTCCTTTGTCATTTCCCAATAAGAAAGGAAACCAAAATAAGGCCACCAAAAGAAAGGGTAAAGAGCTTCTCAATCACACTTAGAAAAAGGTGGAAAAAAAGGTAGCTACTTTGGCGATGCTACACGTTCAGCACACAATCTTATCAACTAGGCTTGATTTGGACCTGCAATCTTCCTGGTAGCATCTCAAAACAGCCAGTTTGTTGGCTCTGTTTGTTGATATTTCCTTTTGGTGTCACCCATCCCCTTTTGCCTAAGTCTCCTTTCTTTGACTTTCCACAGCTCTCCACTTCAGTTGCCAACCTATGACTTCACTTCCCATATCTGGTATCCATCAGGTAGTTGGTGACTCCAGAACAATTCCTGATCATGCTGGCTTTCAGTTTAGCACCAGATGGCCCCATGCTGGAGAAGGCTGTGATACCAACCTCTTCCAGAACAAAACTGGATATGGAAAGAGGTTTTCACATTACCACAAACAACCAGCCTGACACTAGATCAGTCAATTACTAAAAGAGAGAGAGAGAGAGAGAGAGAGAGAGAGAGAGAGATAGATATGAAAACTGTTTTTCTTACTCAACGGAACGGCTCTTAGCTCCTTACATTGCATGAGTAGACAAAAATAAAGCTTGAAAATGTGAGTTTCACCGATGGCATCATAAACTGGGTTTGCATTTGATACCCAGCAATTAGATTTTTTTTTTAGATTTTCATTTTTATTTTGCAATGATTTCTTTATTACAATGAAGCTTGGAAGGTTGTTCTCAGAGTTTCTTCCACAGCCAATGGAAAGAAATACAAGGCAAGCACGTCAGCCATTGAACATGTTGGACATAAGGTTAGCAAGGGTGAATAAAGTGGTCACTTACTTTCCCTGAGGTAACTGAGATGAGACAGCAGGACTTCTGTGTTGTAGAGAGAAGTGATCCGGAGGAAATCCTCCTTGTTCATCTTGCATAGTTCTTTGCCGTCCATGTTCTGGAAGAGGTTGGTATCAATCTCCATTAAGCCATATTCTTTAATAGCCCAGTCTAGCCACTGACGCACATGATCCTGACTCCACAATGTGGGATCTATCAGAAGAAATCAGAGAGGTGGAAGGATGAAAGAAGTTACATGATTGATGGCCAATACTCTGTCAAGAAAGAGTGGTTAGAATGCGGTACAGTGGCGCAGTAGTTAGAATGCAGTACAGCAGGCTAATTTTGCCAACTGCCAGCAGTTCAAGTCTCACCAACTTAAGGTTGACTTAGCCTTCCATCCTTCTGAGGTCAGTAAAATGAGGACCCAGATTGTTGGGAGGCAATATACTGACTCTGTAAACTGCTTAGAGAGGGCAGTAAAGCACCCTGAAGCAGTATATGAGTCTAAGTGCTATTGCTATTTTCTTGTATCTCTTTTTCCAGTTTCATTCTTACTGGGGAGGAACGGTTAAGTGAAATATTACAGGATAGAGACATGTAACTTAACTGGGCCATGGACAGGGTTAATGAGCGATTTGTGGTCTCCAACTGCTTTTCTGTCCTTGTGGTTGCTGTTGCAATCTTGAGAGTCCCCTTCAACTGTGCTAACTTTTGCGACATTTCTGGAAACTGTGGCAATACATTTTTCTAACATATCTCCCAAAACCCGTCTTCCTATTTCCCCTCCCACAAATCTCCAGAAAATCCCAACTCTGGCCTATTTCAACAAAATCTCATCCAATCTGGCTTACACATTCCCCAAGTTTAATGAGGGGGAGGGGGGACGTGATAGCAGTGTTCCAGTATCTCAGGGGCTGCCACAAAGAAGAGGGAGTCAAGCTCTTCTCCAAGGTGCCTGAAGGCAGGACAAGAAGCGACGGATGGAAACTCATCAAGGAGAGAAGCAACCTAGAACTAAGGAGAAACTTCCTGACAGTGAGAACAATTAACCAGTGGAACAACCTGCTTCCAGAATCCTCCAACATTGGAATTTGGACTAGATGACCTCCAAAGTCCCTTTCAATATCATCATCATCATCATCATCATCATTATTATTATTATTATTATTATTATTATTATTATTATTATTATTACTACTACTACTACTACTATTAAAAACACGTACTATCAAATGGAATAGTGCAGAATTGGCATCTCTACCCTTGACTAATAATCACAATTGGGACCAGAAATTCTATTGTTAGCCAAGGTGGTGGTTAATGAGTCCCATCCAGTTTTACCACCTCTCTTCCCCACAGTTGTTAAGTGGATCACTGCAATTGTTCAATGAATCATGCAGCTGTTATGTGAATCCAGCTTTCCCTATTGATTTTGCTTGTCGGAGGCCAACTGGGAAGTTGGCAAAGAGCAATCCCATGACCTTGGGATGCTGCAACTGTCATAAATACATCCTGGTTGCCAAGCATCCAGATTTTGATCATGTGACTCATTGGGATGTTGCAACAGTTATTAGCACAAATACCGGTTGTAAGTCACATTTTTCAGTGCTGTTGTAACTTCCTATCGTTGCTCAATGAATAGTTGTTAAGTCGAGGACTCTCTGTAAGTCCTAAATACCAAAAGCATCATCCTATTAGTAAGCCTTTTTGGCTTACTTCATTACTTACTGCTGGCCCATTCACAAAAAAACTTTTGTTTTTTCAATCCCCATTCTCCAAAGACTATATGCTTTGCTTTGTTTTCCTCCTGATAACTGATCTAACTAGGGATTTCCAAGCTGTGTTGTCCAAATTGTTTGAACCTTTGCTCAGCCCCTTCCAAATTTTGCACAGATGGTTATTGCAATTTTTTGGGGAGCACTGTTTATTCGCATGTTCCAGAAAGTAGTAAATTCTCTGCAGAATGACCTCCCTGCTCAGACAAGTTTGCTTTATAAGTCTGAGTCATATTTCCAGGCTCAACTGCCTGACAAAAAAACACACTTTTATTCCCACCCACTCACCCTTTCGTTTTGCAACTCTTGAGGCCTGCAAAGTCAATACAGATGGACTAAGGATGAATATACAGAATTGGGTTCATGACTGCATATTAGGTCCTGGGGGAGAATTGCTATAAATGGTAGTGATTTAAGAACGGGACAATTATACGGATGAGGGTTGTATAAAAAAATGGGAGGTAAGGGAGAAAGGTTGCTGCTGGATCATGCCAAAAGTTTTTCTAGGTCATCATTCTGTGGCTGACTCAGCCTTTGGGGACCAAGTACATTATGCTATTATTAGGTCGTCATTACTGGCAAGATCATACAACTGAAAAATGTCTTACTGCTTTCCCTCAAACTCCAATATGTGAAAATTCAGCCAATAGCCAACTTCCAAGTCATTCTAGCTATGAATGATGGGAGTTGAAATCCAACATATTGGAAGAGACTGGAAAAAATCTGGTTGACTCATTGTTCCTGAAGTCCATTATTGTCCACCCCAGTAGTTGCTCTTCAGGATTCTGGTAATCTTTTTAAACGAGCATACATGAAGTTATTTAGCCATTAAGTAAAAGCCATAGGATCATCCCATACATCATAGTGTCCTCCAACAAATGACAAAAATTAAATTGTGTCCTTGGTGTCATCCTAATGATATTGTTGATGATAAGAATTCATTAAACCTGTATGCTACCCATCTCTTGATGATCTGGGAGGTTCATGACAATAAAATAAATTACAATAATATGAATAAAACGTAAAAATTAAAGATGAAAGATGGCCAGCATGATGACACAAAGGGGTCTCACTCTCCTTTCACTGAAGGGCTGGGAGAAGAATCGAGTCTTCACGGCTCCTCTGAACAATAACAGAATGAGGGCCATCTGGGTCCTGAGGAGACCCCATTCCAGAGGGACACTGCTGTAGAGAAGTCACAGAAGTAGCTGAGAGAGGATATTGTTTAATCAAAGCAACCTGAAGAAGGCCAACCATGCAGGATCAAACTGGCCAGGCAGATACTACAGGAAACAATGATCCCTCAAGTAACCAAATTCTGTGCCATGATGATGTCCTAGCATGGCTTTGTCAATGTTACCTCATTCCTGAAAGAGAATTCTAGTTTTGAGTGTTTCAAGCTTGAAACAGAGGTTTTTGAAGTTGAAACAGAGATTTTTTTAAAAAAGTCTCAGAATGACTGAAAAAGATCCTTTTGAACACAAGGCAGCCATGAACTTGAAATGGACAATGTTGACTTTGAGATAGTTCAAATTCAAAATGTTTGCAAACCTCCTATTTCAAAGTAACAGTGAATTTCATTCCTGCTAAAATGCAAATCCCGAAGTCATATGCTTTTTATTACAATGGGATACTTTGTCAAAGCTGATCTATTTCAGAAGAGCCTTTTATGAGCATATAAATAAATGTTTATAAACATTTATGTGGATATTATTTGCCGAGGTCTAGAAAAAAGGTTCCTTAAATAACCTTTTGCCATTCTTTTTGCTTACTGGAAAATATTAGACAATATTTGCTCTCCCACACACATTGCGGATTTTTATATATTCAAAATAGAATATGTGGAGTTTTGTTAAAAAATATTATCTAATATAACTCCTCCCTTAGGAAGGTTTCTACCAGGCTTCATATATTACTTTTTTTTTTTTTTACTGAGTTACTTATCATTAATGTCTGTATTTTTATCTGCATCCTGTGCTATTTTTCTCATGGTTTTTATCAAAAATCCACAGCTCTGCTAAAAAAAGAAAGAGGGAGAGCCAGAACTAAACACAATATATTCTGCACCACAACTCACTTGTCTAGTTTCTTCTCCCTATTAACGATGTCTATTAATTCTTGAAGTTCTAATTTTACTTTCACATACAGCTCAACACTCCTGGAAGAATTTTTTTTCTATGACCAGTAGTAATATTTATTCATTGATTAAATTTATACAGCAGTCTATCCCACACAAGGTGACTCTAGGTGGCATACAACTTCACACAAATAGTGCACAGTTGCTGCAATATGGGACATCATGGATTGTGCACAACCTGGGACTTTCAGTTGCTATTTGTTAAACATTTACTTGATGGGTAAGTCCTATTTGTCCCTACTGAGTTATATTTCTGGCCATGCATGCATAAGATCACACTATTAGTAATTTGTAGTAATGTCTATGGAGGTTCTCAGTCATCCAGGTCACAGTTGTCCCAAAGCTGCTTTTTCATGAGGCAACTGGACTTTCTTGGTTTTTTTTCTTTGAAGACATTTCACTTCTCATCCAAGAAGCTTCTTCAGCTCTGACTGCATCATAGGGAAAGGGAAAGATTTATACTCCTTACAGACAGCTGGTCATTTGCCTTCTTTTAGACCAGTCCAGTTGAAAAATCAACTTTGGAACAATTCATAGTAAGGTCTATATCTCCACGCTGTAGATGAATCTGCTACCCATTTCTGAAGACTCAACTCTTGATGATGTGAAGAATCCTCTCTCCTCCTGTTGGTTTGTATGCTTGATTTTTTGGGGAAGAATTCATACCAATTTCAAGACCAAATTTCAGTAAGGGTGAAAATATTCAAAAGAAAAGGAGGTGGTGGCATCTTACCTGCTGGAACAATGACTCTTCTCTCATTGGTGGTCATGTTGGGAGGGGGAGGTCCGTTCTTCTCATCTATGTAGGTACCATAATTCAAAGGGTTGGATTCTGGACCAGCACCAACCAGTTTGTTGCATTTGTTAACACTGCAATCCACTGGAGATTCCCTGAAATATAAACACAGTTGACAGTACAATATTAACCCAGCTTTGCTTTTTGATTTGGGATCCTTTTGCCAGCTACAAATTAAAGCCAGAGGAATGTATTTATTCATGGTAGAAATACATTTAGTCCTTGACTTACCACCATTTGTTTAGTGACTGTTCAACAGTACCCCAAAAAAGTGTCTTAGGACCGTTTTTCACACTTATGACCATTGCAGTATCCTCAAGGTCACATGATCAAAATTTAGCTGCTTGGCAAAATATTTGCAGTTGTCCTGAAATCAAGTAATCCCCTTTTGCAACCTTCTGACAAGCCAAGTCAATGGGGAAGCCAGATTCACTTAACAGCCCTGTTACTGACTGAACAACTGCAGTGATACACTTAACAATGGTGGCAAGAAAGGCTGTAAAATGGAGCAAAATTCACTTAAAAGCTGTCTTGCTTAGCAACATAGACTTTGGGCTCAGTTGCGGTTATAAGTGAAGGAGTACATGCATAGAAATCATAGTTCCCTGTATCTGTACCAGGGATAGAAAATGTGGTGGTATCAACAGTGGGTAGGGTAATTATAAGAGTTTCTTTAAAGCCATTAGCGGATGATTACTCAACTACATAAATATCTTCCCCTACGTTACTCAACTCACATGCTAAAGTTAGTAAAAGAAGCCCTGCTTATGGTGTCACCTCTGGATCTGAAGATTAAGTGCTCTGAACCTCAGTTCCCTCCATGGATTCACAAGGACTCAAAAGTGAGTTTCCCAAGACCCAGAAACTCATCGACTGGAGCCCACCTCTTTTGGAGATCTAACAACTGGCTGATCTAGACAGACCTGTGTCTGATCCAGCACGGGCATTATTATAGTCGTATACTTTATCCACCAGCACAAGTCAAGATGGCCTTTCGTTTTATTATTTGGGAGATTCAGGCCATCACTATTCAGAAACCTAGGAGAGGTGATTGCAAGGCCCCAAGGATCAGCAACATCTCTCTACAGAGTCACATGTCTACCTCCATTCTAATGTCCATCTGACAGGTCAGTAAAAGACCAGTAGGGAAAAATATCCCAACCGGGCACAGAAGAACCTTAAACTCACAAACAAAGTGCTTTATATATCAACCGGATCAAATGATGAGTTCCATACCTATCAGTACTGGTGGACAGATCAAGGTCTTCTTGCTATGCTTCATCTATGACATTTTCTCTGAATTCATGAAGCATTTCACCTGACACGACTAACAGCCACAAGAAAAACAAGCTTTGAAAGAATCCAGTCCACTCCGTAAACAGAGAAGAAGAACATGCCTGCATGGTTAAATTCCCATCTGCTGAACAAGCCTGGAAGGATTTTCCAACAGAGAACTTTAAATTTGTTTGCTAAGGCACAGAGTCGGAATTATTCTAGCATAGTTATCATGGCTGGGAGATAAACGTTCTGCTGAGATATTCAGAGGCAGACAGTAATTTTTTCCTCATGTCTTTTTGGGGCGAAGGACTGCTTGGAAATGGAAATAAGATGTATAACCTACACATGTTAGAACTTAAGGTTGTCCTATTTCGCCTACTGTTTTTCCAGGCAAGGAACCAAAGGCAGTCTTTAGAGAGGCAAATTGCTGATCATTTTAATGTCCCTGTGACAGGCAGAAAAAGGTTTAAGCAACAGCAGGAGGGAAAAGAGAGAGAGAGAGAGAAAGAGAATTAGAAAAAGAAAGAGAAAGAAAGAGGAAGGAAGGAAGGAAAAACAGAGAGAAAGGAAGGAAGGAAGGAAGGAAGGAAGGAAGGAAGGAAGGAAGGAAGGAAGGAAGGAAGGAAAAACAGAGAGAAAGGAAGGAAGGAAGGAAGGAAGGAAGGAAGGAAGGAAGGAAGGAAGGAAGGAAGGAAGGAAGGAAGGAGAATTAATTTCTCACTGGTGACAGACATTCTTTGTGTCAGGTGTTAAAAACTATAAGGATTTTTGGAGTACAAAATGTTTGGTATCAAGAGGATTATAGTCTTCTTCAAAGCACAATTTGATTGCCAACAAACCAATGTTGACAGACAAGACAGAATGACATTAATTGCTACCAGGTGATAGATAAATGTGTTTAACTCTATCTGGATCTAAGTCAAGCTTTTCCAACTTGGTGCTATCCAGAGATATGGGCTTTGGAACAGTTTTGTGCATTTCTGCATTAAGCAAGAAGTTGGATCAGATAGATAGGTAGATAGATAGATAGATAGATAGATAGATAGATAGATAGATAGATAGATAGATAGATTTTATTGTCACAATGGCACACATTAAAAATGAAATTTACTTGCTTGCTCTCAAAACGTACACATACATAACACACAGTTAAACATACTATATACAACATATGTATAGACCTACACACTTACATATAAGTAACATATAAATATTAATCACAGTTGACCTATGAAGTCCCTTCTAACATGTACTATACCTTACACAAATCCAAGAATTCCTAGCCAGCTTAATTAACCTTGGAAATATTGTCTGAGAATTCTGGAAGTTACAATCAACAGTATGTCTGGAGATGGCCAAGTAGGTAAAATCTGGTCTAGGAGGGACCTGGTTCTAGAGATACTTTTCCATAGTTAATAACCACTGCAGTTCATTGGACTGCTTATTGGAGTATAGAGGTTGAACTACTGGCCTCGGATTGGTGACACCCAGATTCATGTCCCAACAACCATGAACCTTATTGATGATTTGAAGGAAGTCACTCTTTCAGCCCAATTTACTTCATAAGGTTGTTGTTACAAGGGTAAAATGAAGTTTCAATTTGAACAGCTAGGAAGTTTCAATTTAGTACAGCTAGGATGTACTATAATAGGAGGTCTGACAGAAATCAGACTTTGATTTGAAAGTTATCCTCACCCATAAAGGCAGTCTAGACTAAGTCTAATTGAAGATAAAGGTTCACCACAGACCTGAGACCTGCATGGACCAAGAAACTGTCCGTTCATAAAATGTACCCACAAGACCCACAACTCTGATGCATTTCTATTTCAAATACAATCATTTTTTCCTAAAGGTCTATCTACACTGTGCAAATCCCAACCTTCCTTTTGACTTATTTTTCTTTGGGGACAATAAAGCAGAAGCAGCCATTTTAGCTGCACAGTGTGGGGAACACGCCAATGAGGCCCCCCGAGCTGGGGTACAAGGATAGAGATGCAGGCCTACTCATCAGTCCGTTGAAGACTGTTTGGTGGGCAGCCATGAAATATTTTGGAGAAAAGATCTCATGTCAGCCAGGATTAAAGATGGGAATGTCTTTCCAGGTAATATTTGGAAACCACGTTTAACATATAGAACAGGGGTCTCAAACTTGGCATTTTTAAGACTTGTGGACTTCACGGCTGGGTGGGAGGAATTCTGGGAGTTGAAATCTACAAGTCTTAAAGTTGCTAAGTTTGGAGACCCCTGATATAGACAATCAAGAGATAAGCAGATATTTTATCCCAGTAACCCCCCTGCCCTCCAAAAGGAAAGCAAGATAAAGGGAAGGAATTCCACAGATGATAACTAGTTAAGGCCATTTGATATATTACATGTAAAAAACCGCCTCTGATATCAGTATATTGTAGGCACTGTTGCACACTCACACTATGTTTTATGGGCATTCTTAAAATGTCTGCACCAATAAATACAACATATAAAAGATCCTGGTTTTTGAAATAAAGAGTATTCTTCCACCAGCATTAAAACTCAGTGTATCTCAAGAAAGCTTAAAGGATATTTGAGAGCTCGTTAACAAATTAAAAATTGGGGCAATAAAAATAATACCACGAGTTACCACTGAACCATGTTAATTCTAACTCTCAGCATTTCTGTATTTTTGTATTTTGAAATGGAATTAATTGGCATTCAGAGAGAAGGGAAGAGGATTTTGTTATCCTTATTGTTCTTATTCTTATTACCTATGCTTTGCTCCTCCTTTCTAATTGATTTTACACACAGGCTTTCCCCCAGAATCCTGGATGAAGCAAGTTTGGGAGAAAAAAGAAGCAGTACTTGAGGTTAATGGAAAAAATAGAAAAAGAGGGGGAGTGTTTTCTGGAGCCTTCCCAGCTGGCTTGCAGATGTAGGGGGAGAAGAGGCCACCATCACCCCCATATGTGCATCCTATTTTTTTTTGTTTGTTTGTTTCTAAGTCAGGTTCACTGCTCTTTGAAAACAAGGAGTAACCAAAGCGCCTGCATAACACAGACTTCTGCTTTGGAAAGTGTTGGTCAGAAATCAAGTGTCCAGTCTTTCCTGCAGCCCAGGCTAAAATGACCAAAGAAATCTGTGCAGCACAAAGTAGCCAACAGGAACTGGACAGATCCCAGCTTCTGCCCATATTTACAGCAACACCATCTCTGTGATGTTGTACACCATTCACAGGGCAAGATTTGTGTTGGGCGAAGAGGGAAAACTCTATTTTGAGGGGTTCTTGAGGGGTCTTTGAGTTTGGTTGTTTTCTTGCAGATGTTTCATTACCCAAACTAGGTATATCATCAGAGTAGCACTGATGATGTTAAGAGCACCAAGGACTGTACAGTCCTCCACCTCCTCCTCCTCCACCTCCTCCTCCTCCTCCTCCTCCTCTACCCCACTCCCTCCATCACCAATCAGGTTACCTAGTTTGGGTAATGAAACATCTGCAAGCAAACAGCCAAGCTTAGAGAGCACCAAGGAACTCTCATTTCAACCCTGAGCTACAAATATTCTCCTTTATTGGAAACACTATTTAAAAACTAGAACAGGTAAAAGCAAATATTGGTTGTCTTATCAAGGACTGGGGATGGGACAAAGGCAGCATAATGAGGCTACATCCTTTAAAATTATAGCATCTTCATGCTATAGCAAATAGGAACTATAGATGAGCCTGTAGAATCAACAACTATTGTTCTGCCAGAATAATAGTAATGAGGACAGGGATTCCATCACTGCATGTTGATGAAAGGTGATGCTACCAAGATGCTATGTGATCACTCATGGGGAAAAGGCATAAACCAGACGAAAGGTCAAGATGAATTAAGCCACACACATGATGTGGGAGAAATCATGACATAATCTCCTGGTTTTTAGAAAAGCTCATCACACGTATATCTACGATCCCAATATGAACCCAAATCTTAAAAACTGATGGGTTTCTTTTAACCACTTTTTCTTTTTGCTTTCTTTCACCTCCAAACTGGTCCTTTAGAAGAAAATGTAGGAGATGGTTCATGCACTTACATTGGCAGGAGAGAAACGCCGCATCAATGATTCCAACTTTCTACACTATTTAAAATTTTGAAAAAAATGAGGGGGTTCTATGCAATCCTTCATCTCACATAACAGCTACTTTGCACCTTACTCCCGCGTCATAAAAAGGATTTATTCCCTATCGCCTCTCCTGAAATTATGTTGTTTTAAATTAATTTACTCTCACTAATTTCTACATTGGGATCATCACTGCAAAGCCTTTGATCTCAATCTCAGTCCTTCCATTCTCATGACCTGTTCAATCTCCAAAGTCTAACCTTTTAACTAATCAATTAAGCATTTGTCCCAGCTTTCTTGAGGACATCTTTGTACTAACAGTAATAATCCAGTCCAGACCTACATCCAAAAATATTTATCTGCCCCCTAGGTGGGTAATAATTTTAAACTGGTTTGGCTTGCCCAGAATTACATATTGTCCCCATTATGTGCCAGCTATTGTTTTCTGATCTGCCTGTGGCTACTGCTTCTTAATTTTCTCATATCAAGCAGAGATACAGCTTCAATGGGAATAGGTATGTCACAGAAGGTTAAAGAGTAACGAAGGAATGTGTGCATGGTTGCAAATGGAGAAGTCAAGATTCTGATACAATTCTTGGGCCATGGGCTAAAAGTGTCATAAAAGATAAATGCATTAAATGCATATAATATGTAACTTGCCCCCAATCTCGTCATCCTTCCAGGCTTCCCTGTGTCATTAAGCTGTATATATCCACTTAGCTACCATAGAAAGTCTAGTACATCTGAGATACAAAATTTTTACTCCCTCTAGATGGCAGCAAAGTTACAACTATCTGTATATCTTTGCTGCCATCTGGTGGGTGACTGGATATTTGTAGTCCTGATAAGATGTCATGCTGCAGATAGGCACTTGTCCATCCTTACCTGGATCCATTCACATGATCATATTCCCTCTTAACATTGACGCGCACCGGCTGATTGATCCACTCTTGCTGAGGAGGTAAAGGGTTGATCTTGTGTGGTTGACCATAATCCGGGTTCCCTGAGGCTGTCATGTCTGCTTTGGAAAGGTGAGCACCAGCTCCGTAGGTAGAATCAAAGAGTGATTGATCTTCACTCACCACTGAGAGAGCCTCCTAGATATCAACAGGAGAAAGAGAAATTAAAGCAGGTGTTATACCTAGGCTAGACATTCAGCTTATATCTCCTTCTCACAGCTGGCAAAGAGATATCCAGAAAGGCTCGATCTGAAACTGGCATTAACTCCAGAGTTGCAGATTGAATCAGAATCTTTTGTGCTTCCATCTAACCACTGAGCCAAACTTGTGGGTTTTTCACCTTGATCTGAGAAAACTGGAAGAACCTCGAGCAGAAGAGCTGTGGAGAAGAGCACCTCCCTTTGTTTTGGTAACCTGCCAGATTAAGAAGAGCTAAGCCATCCTTCTCCAGATGGTTGCTTTATGGATACATGGTGAAGATAACTCCCTGAATTTGGAGCTGGCAAGTTTTTCATGATGGATGGGGGAAAGTAGCTGAGTTGGAGAGGGGCTGAGCTAAATGTTCTGCTACATGGAAAAAGTAATCAAGTGGACACAACTTTCCCCATCAATCATTTGGAGTGCTATTTTATTCAGCACCACCCATCTGCTGGCGCTTATGGCCAAGGCAACTTGGAAACGTATCATGTGAAAGTCAGCTCCAGTGTGCTGTGTTACACAGGAGGGCCAACAATATTTCAATATCGGCATCTGCACGTTAAAAAAAAAAAAAAAGTCCAGCTACAGACAAATGCTGAGAATGTCTGAAATCCTGGAAAGCTAGCCATGAAGGAGAAGGAATCTTGGGTCAATCAAAGGCAATGCCGGCCAATTTGAAGCTTAAGTCCCACAAACAGAACCTCATTTAAAGGAGAATATTTGTAGCATAGGGTTGAAATGAGGGGTCCTTGGTTGTATTCTTACATATGTTTCATTACCCAAACTAGGCAACACCCTTACACTAGCACTGATGATGTTATCTGGATCCCTCAAAAATCTCATTTATATCCCCCAGTCCTCCAAAACTTGCATTATTGGAATTCAGGTACAAAATGGCTGACTTTTTTTTTTAAATGTGATTTTGCCCCTCAAGTAAAGGTAGAAATGGGGGCAATTTGATCCCCGGAAATCTTCTACTAATACTTCTATTCTTAACAGCTCAACTCTTGTCTCAAATGCCTGAAAACATGGTGCTGGAATCCAGCTATTTTGCCGAGTTTGGGTGTCATGGTTGTGAGTAGCATGGAGATATAGTTGGGTGGGATTAAGAAAAGGGAATGATTGGTTTTCTGAAGCTTTTCACATCCCGTGGACCTGAACTCCCCATAAGCCCCAAAATAAGGACAAATCATGCCTGTGATATGACCAGCAATGTCATTCACAGCCCTTCAGCTGGTTAGGAAAATGAATTAGTCTCTGATCTTTGGATGGTTGCTTCCTGCCTTTAAACAAAGACGGTTAAACTAAGGCTCAGGCTCACACTTCATAATGTTGCCACCACATTGTAATTTTAAAGATGTCAGAAACAGAAGAAATGACAGAAAAGTGAACAGAAATAGCCTTAGTTGCATTTAATGAATTACATTTAATTGGAATTAGAATTATATGCTCATTATATTGAATCAAATGCATTGTTCCTCCTGACACCATCCATTTTTCTACACTAGCTGTACCTAGCAAGCCATTCAAAGGCCGAGTATGTCCTTCATCCCATACAAATTGTATATCTCCTTCTTAAGGTTTCTCAATATATTTTGGACTTAGTTTGTATATCACGACAAACCTGCCATTTTTAAGATGCTGTAAGTCTTGCTAAAAAAGACAGGACATACAAGAAATGTATACAGACAACCCTGTATCAATGCTCAAGTTACTATTGACAGTCCCTAAAGTTAAATTTCCATTATTAACTTTCCTCCAGAATGTGAGCAAATAAATAACTATTTACAAGCATCCATAGAATTCAACAGAAGTCATCATCACGCACATAGGGCTGATCACATTCAACAAAGATGTATCATATATGGAAGAAATAATCATGTTGATCCTCTTTGATAGTACCTCTACAGACATAGAGCTACTATAATATAATTCCCAACGTAGTGTGGTATGATATGGAATGGTATTATGGAATGGTATGGCATAATATATTATATGGTACAGTATGGTGTGGTGTGGTGTGGAGTGGAGTGTGTATGATGTGGTATGGAATTGAAGGGAATGGAATGGAAGAGAATGGAGTAGAGTGGAATGGAGTGGGTGTGGTGTGGTGTGGAGTGGAGTAGTATGGTGTGGTATGGAAGGGAAGGGAATGGAGTGGAGTGGAGTGAAATAGAGTGGTGTGGTGTGGTATGGAGTAGAATGGTATGGTAGGGTATGGTATGGTATGGTGTGCCGTGGCATGGAATGGAAGGGAATGGAATGGTAATGGAGTGGTGTGGTGTGGAGTGCTATGGTATGGTGTGCTATGGTATGGTATGGTGTGGTGTGGTATGGAATGAAAGGGAAGGGAATGGAAGGGAATGTTATGGAATGGAATGGAGTGGAGTGGTGTGGTGTGGAGTAGAATGGTATGGTGTGCTATGGTATGGTATAGTAGTACTATAATATAGTTCCTAAGCATAATCAAAACATGACTACCATGCAACAGAGCAATGGGACTCTTACTTCTACACTACCCAATTGTTGGTCTCTGTCTTTGCCCAACGGTCTCGACTAGACCTGAGACAGATGCCTTGTTTTTTTAATATCTTACATGATGTTGTCCTTGGTAGTAGGCCAGTTTTAGCTTTCCTCGTTTTTATGCTACATTCCTGGCATATCGCTCTGGGCTCTGTCTGTGGCTGAGCCAAGACCCAACCAAGTTTCTGTGCCGACCGACACAGCTCAGTCCTGTGTCTCTTGAGGCCAATTCACGAAACAGAGCACTGGCTTTTATATAAGGGTGACTGGTGGAAGCAAGGCAGGGCGTAGGGAAGAAAAACACCTTCAGACATAACAGAGGTATGGAAAGAATTCCTACAGAAAACAATTTATAAACCTGTTGCGGGCCAAAACATGGAGCAAGGCTTTAATGGCAAGAGTCCAAAGGGTGAGAGCTTTGCCAAATAATTGAAGGTTTAGACTTGAAGCATTGCAAGGAAAATTCATAACATAGGCATTCTACTGCCTAACAACCTTCCTCAAACTAATCTTCACTTGGAAGGTCAGGATGCATCCATAGGGCAGAGGAGGAAGTGTTTTGTGATGCTTTTTTAAAAAGTAATATTATGCCTCTGTCCTCATTTTTTAGGGTACCTAACAGTTTTTCCAAATCTCTTTGAATGTGCTTTTTAATCTCACTTTGGACTGTAAGACAGCTAAGGATGCTATTATGACTGGTTTATTCACACCTCTGCGTTACTCTTGTAGCTTCTTTAGCTGTCTAAAACTCCATCATGGGATGTATTTGCTCAGGAGCTCTTTCCACCCCTCAGGATTTAACTGAGGGGTGGAAAAATCATGGTGATTATCCTTATTAAGAGATAATTGTACAACAAAATAGGATAGGCATATACCCGTCAGACACCTCAAATGTATTAACTGTACACTAATAAACCATATACTGGGGATATATGTAGTTCAGGATTCATTGTTGGGTTCTTGATATTCTCTGAGCTTGTTTTTCTTCCTCCAGGTAACTTCACCAGTGCACTGACAATGTTACCTAATCTGGTGATGAGATGTCTGCAGGAAGCTAAGCAAACTCAGAAAGCACCCAGAACTCAACTGGCAAAGCCATATTAGGGATTGATGCAATGTGCAAGTTATTTCAACTTTAGTTCATGATGGTGGAAGACACAGTCTGCAGACTTTCACTTGTGATCTTCAAGATTTGATCTATATTTAGAGGAAGCAGAGAAGACAGGACAACACAAGCTTGAGACCCACTGTGGTTTATTCTTAGAACATGAAATTGCAACATAACTTTGTAGTTCATCCCAATGATTTTTTATCACAGCCATGAGATATATTCCAGTAAATTCATCACATTATTTTGTGAGAGGCAAGAAAGAAATGGAAAATCACTCATATGAAAGCAATGAAATTGGGGGGGGGGGAATGCATATCAGGAGTTCTTAATTAACTTCCTTTTTCCTCTATCGCAACAGTCATGCAAAAGATAACAAAAGTTATCTGTTAAAGCCAGAGATGGGTGGTGTGGGGGGACTTCTCTAGAGATGGAAAGAGAGCAGCTCAAGAGAAGGATATAACTGCCACTTTGTTTTGTGGTGGACTTGGTTATTTATTTTATTATTTGCACATTGTAGTAATAAACATCCTTCTCAATTCATAACCTCTTCCATTGCAGCACTTAAAAACAATAACTACATACTTAAAATATGGAAATAGGCAACCGTGTAATTTACATCATTTCCCCATTAATACAGCATTTGGCTGGCTTTGGTGTAGAGTTATGTTGGCCACATGACCACAGAAGCATCTTTGGACAATGCTGGCTTCCTCAGCTAAGAAACAGAGATGAGCACTGCTCCCTAGAGTCAGACACAACTGGACACGGTTTGGTTGGTTGATGTCTTACTATAGTATCTTTCTAGCAGTGTCTCATCTCAAAAGGAGAAAACCAAGATATATCCTGTAGGCTCTGCTCTATTTCAGAGAAAACTTCACTTGCTACACCCTTGCCAATTGGCAAGAGTGGTTTAAGAAGAGATAAGAAAATGATTTACCAGTCACCAATTCAGTCAGTCAGTCAGTCAGTCATTACAGCCCTTGTCTTTCTTCCACCTGCTTTTGTGCAGAGCCCACAGGTAGAGCAATCTGATGAAGAAAGATCTCCTCTACAGAAGAGGAACTCCCAATTCTTACCATCTGAACTGGAGCAATTGTAGAAATGTGTTCTTTCTCCAGTAGTGGCAATATGTCCAATTACCATTCAAATAACAAATTAGCTTGATACTTTATGGACATCATTCAGATGTATTTGGTCCATCTCACTATTCACTGGTCTGCTACCTGAAGTGACTGCTTCATTATCCCTAGTGAAAAGGTTGGCTAATGACCCAGAAATAGGTCTGGTGAAAAATCCTACTCCTCAT